GGTCTTTCCAGGATGTAAGCACAGCTTTGGAATCTGGGAGCACTACGCTATCTCATGATTACTGAAAGTGTCTAAAGAAAGAGCTCTTTTCAGCAAGAAATATGCACTAGTCTTGCGTGGAGATCACAGCGTTTCAAAAGTGTTTTGAAAAGCTGACGGTGTTGTGCGGTAGCCTGAAGTCTCAGCTTTCGAATGGCTACCAACCTATGAAAAGTTCCTCTTCAGCGAATGAGATCGATTTTTCATTTGTTCCCGTATAATCATAAAGACAAATTTGTTTTTCAGGAAAGCCTTTGTACAGTGCTGTAGTACTTAAGCAGTGTTTCCCACCCATTATCGTGCTTATATTTCGCTCAATAGAGCTCTTTTACTAAATTATTACTGATCATTGAATAGCGTAAATCTCGAAGATCTCGAAATTGTACTAGTTTTTCATAAAGGCCTTTTATAGTGCTCTAGCACGGAAAACAAGATTTTGTTCACACGCGTTGCGCGCTATCGCGGATTGCTGTTGCAGAAATTTCCATTTTTTTGTTTGGTATTGTAAAAGAACTTTGTTCTATCGTTTTATCCTCTGGGTCTTTCCATTTCCATTCTATATTGCCAAATTAACCCGTCACTAAGCCTAAGTCTAAACCTAAGTCTAAGCAGCTTAATCTTATGCACGAAAGGCATATGAACATATCAAAAAGATTGCGAAGTATCGGGATCTTAAATTTTGCTATAGAGTCTTTTTAAAAGGCGAAAAAAACCATAAATCAAATAACGCAAATCACTCGCCTCATGTATATCGCACCGCACGATCGATTGATCGCGTTATCAGTCAACTGACACATCATAGCCGGCAGGCAATGCTTAACTTTGCCTCCCTTGTTACAGTGCGGAAAACGCTCTTTTCAGAAAACAGTCATAGGGTTAAATGCCGTCACCTATTTTATCAAATGGTTACTGATAGTCTAAGGGAGCAGATCTTTCCTGCGAGAAATAGGCGTGTGTGTAGAGCACAAATCTATTTTCTCTGCCATAGCGCTATAAGAAAACCTTTCTGAAAAACAATTACATGTTTAAAGTTTCGTAGATTTACGCGATCATTGATAGTCAACGTGCCCTGTCAGTAGAGTAAACGGAATAATGAGCTCTGTTATGTGAAATATAAGAATTATAAGAACTCTGTTATGCGAAATATAAACGAAATAATGAGTAGCATATGTAAAACAATTTTATCTCCAATGCTATGTCGCCATAAGAAGGATTTTTTAAAAAGCGAGTATCAAACTTTTAAATGGCTACTGAAATTGATGGAAAGTCTTTATACAGCAAAGTGTTCTCTTTCAGAATCCCTTCTTCGGTAACGGAAAGATACCATTGGATATGTTGGCAATTTTTTTGAAAGATGATGCTAGATTTCCAAATGTAATCCTTTATTGTTAAGTAGTTTAAGCTTACGATGTTGTCGAACAGACCAAATTCGGTTCTAAAAGATTGGGGCGAGCGTTCAGTTAGATGGTAATTCTTACCGCTGGCGCACTGATAGTTTCTTCTTTATTGTTTCCCTTTTTTTACGTTCTCAGATTCTAAATATTTTTGCTGTAAGTGATCTTTGCAAGAGTCCATTTCCCCTTATTTGTACATATATGTGTACATGTACCCATATATATGCATATAAAAACGTATATGTACATGTGTATACACGCATACGTGTGCATGTATATATATATATATGTGTATATATACATAAATGTGCATATATATGTATGCGTAATATACATATATATATATGCACACATACTTTCAAATCTTGAAGTTGAAGTTATAGATATTGTTGACGAATCTTAAATGGTTGAAGAAGTATTGAGAAATATAAGGAAAGTAGAAATATTTGGCTTTCCAAACAGTACTTAGTGGAATTGAGCGGAACCTAGATGTAATAAGATTGTCGATTTACAGGTAGTGTATATCGACGAACCACGTAGATTATCAAAAAATGTAGATTAATCAGTTCATGTTATTTTTATAATTGATTGATAGATCTGAGTATACGGTTGCATGTGAAGAAATCACTTTATTTTTTGTTGGCTTTTTCACCTTTTAGTTCATTCGAAATTTTTTAGAATGGAGTGGCGAATAACAGCGAGGATGCAAAAAATAATGGTCAAGATGTGATAGCTCCGGTAAGATTACAAAATCTGTCAGCTACCGTCAAATTGTCAGTAAATATCTAGTTTTTTGGTCATTTGGTAGTGTTATGCTGATCAAAAAATTGGTTGTGAATTGCGAAATCAATAATTTGGAAGAGTAATAAATCACATATGATATTTTAACTAACAATTAATTTTCCAGAATTCCAAATTAGATCTCGGCAAACGTAAGAAGAGCAAGAAAGAAAAAAAGGAATCTGTTATGCTAGCCGAGAATGTACCTGGTGAGGCGCAGTTTCAGATCATTGTTATCAACTTTTAAAGATCTGCGAAAATGAAGGCATTATTCAATTAAGTTAGGGTGAAAATGAGGGTGAGACGGTATATTAATTTTGCTCTGGAGTATTTTCATTCCAAAACTTCTTTTTGTCCTTGGTCGTTACGTAGACGAAATGTTTGATCTTAGGATGATTTAAAGCGGTAACGAAAAAATTAGCTTCAGAAGGAAAGTTCGCAGTAGTAGTAACGTAAGATCGTTATCATCATATGAGTTTTGATGTAATTATGAGCTGTACTACGGTGAAATATCTTGGACGTAAACTGAAATTCTTCAACCACTTGTAATTTTACGCTTAAAATAATCCTAATACTTGTTACTAATAATTGAATATGTTGTTTTACATTCTCCATATGTTTGCAAAATTCTCTAAAAACTGCATTAATGCGGATTAGTGCAGGTGTGTATCGTTTTTTTCCGTTTTCAAGACCTAGTTTTGGGTCTCGAAAAGTCCGTAGCTTTTGGATTGTCCCCTAATTTCTTTCGCATCATAATTTAATCCAGTTTTTTTTCCTATTTCAAATCGATTTGTTATCGCCAAAAAACTAATGTATATCGGAGAAGAGATGTTTTAGTAGCTTGGGCAGACACTTTAATATGGTCGTAGCACCATCGCTCACCGTGTAAATGAAATGGGCTTCCTCAATGAGATGTCTCGATGGACATCTCATGCATTGAACGACTACATCATATTTCAAAGTCGACTCGCCACATATTAGAAAAACTGGCGATACCACATCCAGCGCATAACCCTGATTCTGCTCTATCGGATCATGATCTCTTTCGCCCCCTGAAGTAGCGTTTGTAGGAGAGAAATTTTAAAGACTACAGCCCAGCACAAAGGCGATCTCACTAACTTTGTTGATCATCAGCCTCATTCTTTCGTGAGAAAGCATCCAAACTTTCCCCAGCAAGAATTGCCTATCACTGATCATAATGGTGATTAGATTGCTGATTGGTTGATCTCTGCAAAATAAATAGCAAGTGAATTACCCTGAAATTTCATGGTCACAAGCGAATTAATTTTTGCAAAAAAGGGCGAACAAACACACACGCTCTCGGGTAATGAAGTACTAAGTTTTTTTTTATTCCTTCATGAATAAAAATAAAAATAAACAAAAGTTACTAAATTAATGAAATCACTAAATTTCACTAAAATTATTGTAAGTACTGTTTTCCAGCACAGACCGCTCTTATCTATGGAATTTTAGAGTTATGAAAGTGTCGAATTGCAAAAGAATTTATGAGGCAACCCAGTAGTTGTGAGGTTTCTTCAAATTAAGTGCTGTATTTTGGTTGCATAGTCTTTTAAAGCAATGGTTAGAGATACCCTGCATTTTACATGTTGTTAGTTTAACCGAATTCTCCAAATTTACCAATCCTTCCATCTCTCTGTCATGGACAAATCGGTGTCACTGTTGTCTTGGATGAAAGGCAGTATGATGTGATACATCGGTAGCCGACCACAACTCATGGTCTAGGTTAGATATGTATTTAATTACCTTCAACGAAGTCTGATTAAGTCTAATGCGTGTCACATCTCCTTGGCATTCATCAAATCAAAACTTTAATTTCTCAGAATAGTTCTGATATTGGCGTTTGATCACTTTTATCGAATTTCTATTAGGGGTGTTGTAATAGATTGAACAAAATTCCATGGGAATGTTAGTACTTATTCAAAAGCATAGATTTCTGGCTAGAGCCCCTCATAACCGGCTTTTCACCGTCCTTTCTTGATATAAGCACAGCGTTGAAATCAGAAACGATTACGCTCTCGAATGATTTCTAATAGCTCGAAGAAAGAGCTCTGCCCGGCGAGAAATATGCACATCTGCAAGCAAGAAATCTGTTCCTGAAGCAACGTCAAGGAAAAGCTTTTTCGAAAACCGGCGACGTGGCGATGTAGCCCGAAGTCTCAGCTTTTGAATGATTACTAAAACTTCTGTGAGAAGTTGTTCTCCAGCGAATGGGATAGTTTTCCATTTGTTCGTTTATAATTAGAAAGAGCCAAAAATTTTTTATTTTACTACTTTTGTAACGGTGAGAAAAAAGATAAAACTCTCTGCGTTGATCAATCCCTGAAAGATGCGCTTGAATTCTTCTTCAAACTTTAACTCCGTTTGAGGTGACCGAAGGCATATCTGACCTCTACAATAACTCGCGGTGGCCTCCCGCTGTACCGACTTAGTGCCGCTATTCCTCTGAGTCCAGTCTAATACCAATTCACGGACACCAGAAGGATGGACGGCTTGGTGATTCATGAGCGCGAGATCGAACCGTCGACCTTGTTTGCGACGCAGAGCCTTTCTGATCATTGCACACATGCGCTCTAGCAGTAATATGGTGTTATAATATTAAATCATCAAACATGCTTAGTGAGTTGTAAAACTTGAAACCTTAGTCGAGAGTTTAACCTACATCCTACCCTTGTCGTGGATGCGTGCTAACCACTATGGTCGTTGACGTTCGTTTGCTGACAACAGAGCGATGCTCTGTATCGCAGAAAGAGTGATAGCGGAACGGTAGCCACGGTAGTGCAGTGGTTAGATGAATCTCCCCGGTAGGGATGAAACGCAGGTTCAACTCCTGCCCGCATGACAAGGTTCAAACTTTTGCCTACCACCCAACTTTATTTCATCTGGGACTGTTCTTCGTCAATTGCTAGGTGCTCGGGCGGGAGGTTTAGGGTTCCCAGCCAGCGCACTGTGTGCCACTCTGTGTGGTCGGCGTGGGGAGGGAGAAACCCGACGAATGGCCTTCCAGTCTTCGTGCCAGTTCGATCGCGTGTTCTCTCTCTTCGCGTCGCGGACTTCGTCTCCTCGGCCATCGAGCTATCTCCCTTCCGTCTGCACATTATCCGTTTAGGGTCGCCAAACACACTAGACTCCGTTCGCACACGCGCCTACACCACAGCCTCCCAGTCGCCGCCACCGCGTCGCTTTGGCGTCGTGCCAAATTTCGTTTCGCCTCCCGAATTTATTTCTTCTTGTCTGTCTGTTTTTAATGAAGTGATCCCAATTTCTGCGCGATGTACCGAGTACGTCGCGAGGAAACTAACGGATCAATTGGTTTTGAGTTTTGACTCCCTGTACGCCCCTGTTTGAGCTCCTATCTGAGCCCCTAACCTTTGACGGATGGATAGTCCCGTTGAAATCTCTCTCAATCGTTTTTTAGATCACGATCATTTTAGCAGATTTCGTGGCCGAGAATTTGTTTATAGTGATATCAATCGATTTCAGGTCATATGGGCCAACTGCCCGTCGAGCAATTAGTTCATCTGATCGAGGGAGGCCATCATCATTCGGAACAGCAGCATTCAAAGAAACAGGTGAGAATCGAGCCCAGCCACCTCCGGTATGGGTGGCGGCGAACGGTAGGCCAATATCGGTTTCAGTTACATGGCTGGTGGTTTTTTCTCATATCTTTCTGCAAAATTACGTCTCTGGTTTTCGGTAGACAGAATGTCGTCGTCTTACGCATTGAATTCAATTCGTGTAAGCTCGGACATAATTGACCTGGTCTGGTCAACTTTAGAGAAGCGTACCACGGGTCGTAGTCGTCGCTGATTTAGATGAGCCATCAAACCATTACCATTGGCTTATACATTGAGTTCAATTCATATGACCTCGTGCAATGAATGACATGTCTGGTCAATTTTAGAAAAGCATATCAGTGCTCGTAGTCGACGTCAATCCAGATGAAAGCCATCAAACCGCTAGAATCTATAGGATTTTGACTGTAACTTTTTTAGTTTGACAGTGATGAAATTTGGGGAAAAGAGGGAGAGGGGGCGGGGCGAAGTGATTTCTTCTCGTTTTTTTCACATTTTTTTCCTTTGAATCGTATTTCGAATAATCAGGGATAATGAGTACAGTATTTTTCAAAATATATTGGTATTCCTGACCGATACACTCATTCAAACCCTTTATTTTCAGATTTTTCATATAATGTAACCCTAGAATTCCCTGACTGAACGTTCCTGAAAAACGAGGTCATTTTCGCTTGAGCAGCTCCCACCTTTTTTGGAAATTAAAGCACTATCGCCGATAAATAAAATACACATTTTTTCATGATTATCGTTGACTGGAGATATCCGTCGCATTATTGTCAGCCCCCAACTGGCCTATCGACCACGTAAAGTCGTTTCTTACTAGGCTTCCTAGGATTCTTAGAACTCCTGGGACTTGACGAAATGACGCTCAAAGCCTAAAATTGGGAGCTGCTGCTTGAGTTATTGCTTCCACTTTCAGCAATATTTATGAGAAGTCATCATCGCTATCGTACTCCGCCCAGGTTTGCATACCATAAGTTATGGCGAGTCCACGTGGCGCAGTGGTTAGAGATGCTGTGCGCACACACGTGGTCGGTGGATCGATAGTTGATAGTGGTTCGATCCTGCGCTCATGGCTCACCAAACCTATCATCCTCCTTTTGAGGATGTGTAAATCACTACTTGTTCTGAGAAGAGAGCAGCACTGACTTGATACATCGTGGGTAGGCCACCGCGAGTCATTCTAAGGACCACCAGATATGCATCCAATCGCTTTTACGATGCTACGAATGGAATCGAACTCGTAGCGCATCTCTCAGGAATGATCAACGTCGAGAGCTTTGAAGTTTTTTCTCGTCGCTTTGAGCAGTTTTCTTGTGACCCTGGGTGTTCAAATTCCGCAGAGGAGGTTAGTCGCATGCACTCCGGGCCTGAAATCGAATCGAACGACCGGACGCCCTCGAGTCATTGTAAAGGCCCGAGTACGCATTCAGTTACCTCTATGGTGCTACGAATGGAATCGGATGCATAGCGCATCCCTCAGGGATTAATCAACACTGGGAGTTTTTTAACTGGTCTTCGTCAGTTAGTGCGGTTTTGTCGTGAGACTGCGGGTTTCAGATCCCGTAGAGGAGGTCAGTCGCATGTGATCCGGGCGTCGTACTTCGTCTGAAATCGAACCGACCAACCGGGCGCCGTTCAAATCATTTGCGTTCGTAATCGATTTGGTGTCGTCGCACAATCGTTTTTTAACGCCTCGACGCACTCTCCTATCTAGGTGACGGTGGTTCTTCCTTTCGCTCATGCAGTTTTCCTGGCGATGATGGGGTAGTGGGGTGGTGGTGGTAGTGGAGAAACTTTTGATTTATCATGTTTTGTCGTGTCGAAATGGATGTTTGCTGGTGGTTTTTGTTATAACTGTAGAATAGCTGACCATCTCATCCATGTCATTTGCATCCCTCGTAGCGTCATTTTATATTTCAGCTATAAAATCTCCTTCAAAAAACATTACATGTATCACAATCCGTAGTGTTTTTCACCTTTTTTTCTCTCGATTGGAAGTTTTTACGCTTCGTTCCAGAGCCACAAAGAGAAGTCGTCGGCGGCGGCGTTGATCGTGGACTCGCCTACAATAGAAGAAGCGGCTACGGCGACGGCGACGAACCAACAACAACAACTGACGAAAAAGGAACGTCGACGAAAGTCGAAGGAACTCAAGGAAACCTCATCCTCGTCCTCGTCGGCTGCTGCTTCTGCTACTGCAACTAACGTTGTCACCATCGGTTCGCAACAAACGAAAACAGGCGGCTCTCAAGCCGCCGCAGCCGTAAATACTACTGCTAGTGCGATCACTTCAGCTGTTGTGGCCACCGCACAGTCACCAAAAATGTTTGTGTTTTGTGATGGATTGAATTTCTCACTGATCGTTAATGGGAAGGCCATCATATTTCAGGGAATTCACAACCGCTGAGAGCAAGTCAGTGACGTCTCCAGGGAGACGAAAGAGCGGCGAGAAGACTGGTGCGGAGGCGTCGTTTCGATGTTCAGCTGAAGATGGCGAAGAGGAATTTCTTAGTGCCGATGAAGGAGTTGCATCCTCTGTTGGTGAGGAACCGGTATGTCGATTTTGTCCTTTTTCAATTATTCTTGTTTAACTTTGTAATTGTTTACTATCACCTTCAACAGTGTGTGTTAACTGTGGCTCCAGTAAAAAAGGACCCTTCAAATGTCCGTTCTGCGTCCGAAGTTAATCTTGACAGCTCCAATTACAGGTCTCTTTGTAAATTTCCATTAGAATCGATTCGCTTATATCACATTCATCTTGTTAAGAACGAGTACTGAGGCTCACTTCGAGCGCCAATGTGCTGATGAACAGGAGTTTATTACAGTGAATACAAAAAAGAAAAAAGTTAATGAGTTATCTGGACAGCAACAACAGAGAATTAAGTAAGTGCTTCTTGATACCGAATTTTCTCAATCCATCACTTCTACTGTTTTTTTTTTTGCAGTTCTGCTGGTAAGGAGGAACGTCATCAACGTGCTAGTGAACACTTAGATCCAACAAGACGCAGTTCACTGGGTTTTCCGCCAGAATCAAGAAATTCAGTGCCAACAAATTCCTTTTTACCATCCGGTCGTCGTCCAACGACGGCATCGTTGGCGGATTTTATGGACGGAAAGGTTTCTTCTATAAATTTAATCATTTTAAAGGAAATTTTTCCACCCATTCGTGGGTATTGTTTACTGAATTATGTTTTTATTATTATTACTATTATAACTGTTTCGCGCCTTTCAGGACGGCGGTAAAATTCATAAATCGTCATCGGGTTTTGGTGGGTCCAAGGCATATAGGAAGTCTAATCGAAATGAGGTGGGTTTTATACCAATTTTGACATTCTTTATTTTGAATAAATAAAAAAATATTCTAGCGACACAACATCAACCACTCTGACGTGATAGAAATTTCCTTGCCGGAGAATCCGCCGGAACAACAGCAGGTGCGATAAACCCTTTTTTCTTTAACCCTTTAGTGTATTCACTCTTATAATGACTTCTACTTTCAAAGTCTAGTACTAAGCATATCAGAAGTTTTCAGAAGTTTTTTGATGTTTTTTTTACGTCTATTGAAACAGCAAGTCATCATTTCTCAAAACGAAGGAGCATTTTGAAAGTGTCGAATTGTTTTTCTTTTCCATTTACTTCTTTTTTGGGTCCGTTCTTCTAATGAGCTTTATAACCTATTTTATCCTGTCCTGATGGAGTTTCATTTGAGTCAAGGTTGTTGATGTTTTTGATGATTGTGGTATGGAAATCAGTCAGTTTAACGATGACCGGACCGATCACCGATTATCGTCGCAAAGCGATCTCCTCGCACATTCCACCTGTATTGATTCTGTTCGTTCGCGCATTCTTCGTGTCCTCAATCGGGTCTTTTCGCCCTTTCCAGCGTTACCAGACTCCTTTCTCTCTTTCTCTCTTTTCAATTGACCCAATCGTCAACCACCGATCATGCGTAGCGCTGATCGAGCCAATTTTTTTTTCATAAGGTCAATACACGATAAAAAAACGATGGACGTATCGTCACCGTAACGTCGCTCACTAATGAATCATCCAGACCTGCTTTTGTCACCTCATTTTGGTGCCATACCGTGCGATGCTTTGTATCTATAAACTTGCCCGAAACGTCGGTTGAAGTACCGCCTGATGTCGGATGCTCCGCGTGGCATCGAACACTTGGCCCTTGTGGAGAGTTATGGTCCCCTAAGGTTCCATCAATTCCTAAAGTATTTTTGAATAATTTTTTTCAAATAAGAAGTTGCGAGAGCACGT